TTCAAACTCCTTTGGAACCCCAAATGTTGATTAATAATGAAAACAATACTTACTGATAAAAACTAATAAATACCAAGGTACCACTGAAATTTCACCAAAGAAGTACAAAACTAGGTGGGAGATTTACCAAAGATACATAAAGCAGCTAAGACCAGCAATAAAGGAGACACACAGATTGCAATATTCAGCTCTATGAATACATGGGGTTGAAAAAAGCTAAGACAGTAAATTCATCTTTAGGATAAAGGGTATCGAGAAGAACAAAAATGGGAAAACTCTGTAAGCACATGTGTCCTAACCTCATCAGGGAAAACTGGCAAACCTGTTTCTGCTTTCACCATCTCAGGCTCTCTGCTCATTTCATTTATATGTGTAGTACTGAGGCTCAAACCCTGGGCCTTGCATATAATAGCTAAGTGCACCACCACTGAGATGCATCCTCAGCCCCTCTCCTCTAGTACTTTTGATGAAACTAAATATTCTGAAGTTAACAGGTTTTTAGGAGCTAGCCCACATCCATACCCTAGATAAGAGGGAAAGGAGGGGGGCTGGGGATGTGGCTCAAGCGGTGGTGCGCTCGCCTGGCATGCGTGCACCCGGGTTTGATCCTCAGCACCACATACAAACAAAGATGTTGTGTCTGCCAAAAACTAAAAAATAAATAAATATTTAAAAATTCTCTCCCTCCCTCCCTCTCTCTCTCTCTCTCTTTCTCTCTCTCTTTGAAAAAAAAAAAAAAGAGGGAAAGGAGGGCAGATAAAACTTTCTGCATTGAAAAATAAGAATTCTCAAATGCCCATGTCTCAGTCATCATGTCCTATGCTGTATTCTACACATGACCATCAGAGTAATCAAGCTAAAACACAATTATTACCCTTTATATAAAGTCTACCTACAATAGAAGTTCCTTGAGTCTTAGGTTAGCAACTATGTCTTCATTTTCAAGCTCCAGTAATATCAGACCAATTTTAGTTCCCTACATGTTATGCAGCTTCCCTTGTGTGTTTTGTATCCTATACTTTTGCAATATACTAACACTGCAGTGCAGGGTAAGGAAAAGCCAATTTGTTAAAATAATTTTGAAAATTCTCAGTAGTACTAAAGGTACTCTAAAAACATTAAAATTGAACTCACCTTCTCCCATCCTAAAAAAATGTTCCATGTCCTTTACTTGTCTATTTCTCATACTACCATTATTATTCACATCACCCAAATTCAAACTATTTGATTAGTTTTCTATTGACTCATTCATTCATTCAATAAATTCTTATTTAGCATCTACTGTGAGCTCTCCTGGCTATGCATTATCTTAGATAAAACGATGACATAGTTCTTACCTTTAATAATTTGCACCTTAAAAGCAAAAATAAGCCAGGTGCAGTGGTGCACACCTGTAATCCCAACAGCTCAGGAGGCTGAGGCAGGAGGATCACAAGTTCAAAGCCAGCCTAGGCAACTTAGTAAGGCATTAAGCAACTCAGTAAGACCCTGAATCTAAATAAAATATAAAAAGGACTGGGGATATGGCCCAGTGGAAAAGCAAAGGGCCCTAAGGAACCATGGGGGGAAAAAATCTAATTCTGATTTTTCTAATAAAAAGTGGGAAGTTTTAAAGCCAAGTGCAGTGGTACATGACTGTAATCACAGCTACTTGGGAAACTGAAGCAGGAGGATCTCAAGTTTAAGGCCAGCCTGGGTAACTCAGCATGATTCTGTCTCAAAATAAACTAAATTTTCAAAAAAGCAAGGTGGATATCTGGCATATAGCTAAGTGGTAGAAGATTTTCCACTTGCCTAGCATGCATGAGGTTTGATCCCTAGGTAAGCAATGAGTTCGAATCTTTTTAAATAAAACACAGAATATATTATATATTTTTAAAATGTTCTAAGTTGTAGATGGACACAATATCTGCATTTTTATTTTTTTATGTGGTGCTGAGGATCGAACCCAAGGCCTCACGCATGCAAGGCAAGCGCTCTACCACTGAGCCACAAGCCCAGCCCATATATTATAATTTAACATATGGGAATAAAGGTTTGAAAGATGTTGTGAAGACAGTATTGGTACAACCTAACAAATGACTAGCCCAGGAGGTCAAGGGCATCAGAGAAGGCAAATATCATGTATTTAATGTCAAGTTTGTTGACAAAAAGGAAAGATGTAGGGAGAAGCCACTGACCTCTGGAGATCCAAGTCCTACATCTTCATCAGAACTTATTCATAAATACCAGCAAAATATAAAGTATAAAAAACACTATTCCATGTCATAAAAAATGGAAAACAAAGTTATTTACTACCACAATGAACAGAATCCATCCAGCCTAATAACACACCCATAACACATTTTGAAATTTTTGCCCTTTGAAATCATAAATTATTATAAATTATAGACTTTCAGAGTCATATCAAGTCATAAAAATCACAAATTAAAGAACACAAATGCTGAGAGTCTGTAGTGGAAATACTAAACCCCAAAAGTGAAATGTAGAATTAAGAAAAGAGGTCAGGCCTAAAGACGCAGATGACTCTACAAGGTTCTGTAACACAATGCCATTAACAGAGGACTACAGATCCTTGTTCCACATCCTAAGCACTTGCCACAAATAGAGTGAGCCTGCTAGAGACTAGCAAACAATAAAGGAACAAACTAAGCACAGAGGACATATCCTCAAGGAACATTTTAGGGAACAGGAAGAGAAAAGAGACAGACACAAGGGAGCAGTCAGGGAAGCAACAGTGGAATGGATTACCATAAAACAGGAAGAAAATGTCAAGAAGGAACACATGGTCAACAGTGACAAACAGCTCACACAGGTCAGAGAGTATGAGGACTAGGAAAAAACTATGAGATTCTGTCATAAAAAGGTCCCTAGAACTTCTATAGATTTCTCTGTGTAACTCTTTCACAATGAAACTTTTCACCAGTAGCAGACACTGTATTTTAATTTGAAAAACAAATTTTAGTATCTTCACAGCATATTCACACAATGGAAAATTATACAGCAATTAAAAAGAACAAAGTATTTCTATAAAGAACAACATAAGTGAGCTTCACAGACATGATCCAATGAAAGAATTTAGTAATGAAAGGCAGCAAACTGAATTATTCCATTCATATAAAGTAATCTATGGTCATAACTAATCTATGGTCATAGTCATGAAACAGTTACTTTGGAGGACAGTAGTAACTGAAAGAAAACACAATGAAGCAATCTGGGGTACTGGAAATGTATTCCATCTTGATCTGAATAATCGTCATATGGGTGTATTTGTTCTGTAAAAATTCACAAGCTAAATGAACCTTTGATTTGTGAACCCTAAGACAAACCTCAATGAAAATGTAAACCAAAAAGTAGTTACTGATGACCCTGAAGACAACAATTTTGGGAAAGTGTAAGTTTATAGGACATACCAGATATCAGGAATGTATACAAGGTAAAGAAATTGAGACATTTTTCAAGAAGGTTGTTAGTGAAGCAAAAAAGAAATAAAGTAGCGTGGATGGGCTACACAATTCAGGGAAATTATGCTATTTTATGTCTATTTGATATATAAGACAGAGAACATACATAACAAGGGTCTTTAGCAAACAAGAGCAGAAGAATATAAGTACAGGAATAAGCCACAAAGAGAAGGATGGACAATTCTTTCTGAGATTAAACCTAACAATGAGTAAACATAAAGAGGGAAAAGTCAAGTAATATTGAACTTCTGAAAAATATACACTAAGGTCAACTGTACCAGGTAAGAGTCAGAAAAGGATCTGGACTTGACTGTACATTTTTAAAGTTTTAAATAGGGACTGCACAGGATGTAAAAGACAAGGATGGGTGGAAGGGGATTACAGCAACAGGATAATGCTCAAAAGCCTAAAAGCAATGGCAGAGATAGCCAAGGGTGCAGTTTATTTAAAATATAACGTGGAAAAACAAAATTCAGAAAAAAATCCAACGGTTGGGATGAGCATCACTGAAACTATATAATAGTGATGTCAAATGAAGATCCTTATTTAACTGAGGGAAAAGAGGCAGGAAAGCTATAAAAAGTCTTGAAATGAATATTCAAGGATGAAATCACTGGGGTCTGGAGTGGAGCTGTGCAAAAGAAAAGTTGTCGGTGGAGTTCATGACTACAGAACATTTTTCTGCAAATCCATCAAGATCAAGGATCACATATTCTCCTTTCAAAACTTTCTAAAGCTAATAGTGGCAGCTTTTCCTTCCTGATAAAACTGACCTTTATCCCCTACTCATAAATACACCTACTATTGTCTAATAAATTACATAAACACATTCTGTCCATTTAGAAACCCGATGAATATTTTTACATTGCTTTCTGTGTTTTTCCATTAAGGTATTTTCAGTGGTAAACTAAAAAGCAAAGCCTAGATCTATGATTATGTTTCTAGCTTGGGACTGCACATGTGCAAATGTTATAAAAATTGGCATTTCATGAAGTAGATGTTTCTAAGGAGAATGTTAACAATGATTCTGAACACACCAGTACAAAAGTATAAGGATGACCAAATCAGAAAACGTTTAAGAATGTCCCATTTTTATAATTCATAAGGACAATCTCTTTAAAAAAAAAAAAAAAAAGCATAACACTCTTTCAAATTGCCATTCCTCTTCAATATTTACCCCTCTGGATAGCTCCATACTCCTTTAGTAAGCCTACTCTTTGCAGCCTGTTCACGTAGCCCACATTCCAGTGCTCCTTCCTTCTCCCCATCCAGAACCCCTAGCTACAAATGCCTCTAGGACCATTTTTTCATTTCCCTATTCCCCCATTTCCAATTCAACTCCAAGCCACCGCATCCTCCCTCCACTCCCAATTTTTCTTCCTCTCTAGACTTCCCACCTCCTTCCCCAAACTACTCAGTCCCCACACCCCTCAAAGGCTCCAGCCCGGGTCCCCTCGCCCGAGGTCCCCTCCCCCACAACTCCCTTTCAGGTTCCACCTCCCCATCCTCTTCCTCCCGGACCCCAACCCTCCCTACCTGCTCCCTGCCCTCGGGCCCCTTGGGCCCGGTTCGCTCCTCCAGTCTCTGCCTCCCGGGCGGCGCTCGCCGGCGCGGGGGCAGGGGCTGGGACTGGGGCAATTCTGCCGCCCGATGAGCCCCATCCTCTCGGTGGGCGGGCGGCGGCGGCTGCGGTCGGTCGCGGCAGCGGCTCCGCTTCATGTCTCTGGCTGGGCCCGGAGGGCGTCAGCACCCAGACTGACCCGGCCTCGCACAGCCCCGGGCCGCAGCGCTGCCGCGGCAACCACCGCCCGCGGCCACCATGGCCCGGCGGGCTCCCGAAGCCACCGACCCCGGCCCGCAGCGTCTTCGCGCTTTCTAGAGGCTCAAGCGCCGCGATCGCCTCGGCGCTCCTTACGCAGGCGGCAGCATTGCCACCCCCTGTCTTCTTCCACCCGGCACACGCTGGGCCGGCCACCCGCCGCCGCCGCCGTAGCCACCGCCGCCACCGCTGCCGCCGCCGGCTCAGCAGCCAGCCGCCCGCCAGCCAGCCAGCCTCCGGCCGGCCCCGCCCCTCGCGCGCGCGCACGGGAAGCCCGCCCGCCACCTCCGAACGCGCGCGGCCTCCCGCGCACGCGCCAGCGAACGGTCGCAAAAGACCCGCCCGTGGCCCTGCCGCGCGCTGGGAAGCGGAAAGGGGCGGGACTCCCGGCCTGCCGAGGCGGCTGCGGACTCTCATTGATTCTTCCATTCATCCATTCATGAGTCTATATGCCGAGCCAAGATCGGTGCAGGAAATCCAAAAACGAATTCCAGCAGGAGGGGGGGAGGGTCCGGAGCAGGAAGGAGACCAAATATACAATTAGCGAGTAAAATGCTAATGCATGCCTTTTAATTCAGTGCCTGCCAACCTTCCTCTAATTCTCACATAACGCTTGGGAGTATAGCCAGCTCATTCTTAATGTTACCGATAAGGAGACTCAGGTGAAGTGAAACTTACTAGGTCACCCAGCAAATCAGCGATCAACCTAGACAGGACTTAAAAGACAAATTCTGGCTCTTATATCCCTTTTACACCGTTTCGTGTTCTTTCCAGGCAGTAGGAGCGTGGGGAAAAAAAAAAATCCTATGAAAGAGGAAGAAGTGATGGACTCCTTGGAAACAAAAAAGTCTTTACGGAATGATCTCTAGGACTCCTCACTGACAATGAAGTCATCGTGCCCAGGCCAGCCTGCTGTGCCCTGGGCAGCCTGACCTGCAGCCTCCAGTGACTCATCTGCTCAGCAACGTGCAGTGGCAACTCAGCCCTGCCTGGCCTCCTGGCTTCTGTTGGTCTGCTGCAATGCTGTATTTTTCCTCTTTGACCCAAAAAGAGTTCATTCCCAGAAGCCTTTCCTGTAAGCTACACCCATTTGTCATGTCTCCCTGAACCCTTTTTAAAGAATAAAAGCTAGTTTGGTGGAGTGCCTTCTTGGATACTGTGCATTCAATGAACATACACACAAACAAGAAATAAGTCTATTATTTCCACTTTACAGTTGAGGAAACAGGTTCAAGTCACATATTGTGCTCAACATCACAGAACTAATAAGTGCAGAGTGAGGACTCACACAGAGGTCTATCAGATATCAGAGCCTACACACATAAACAACGCACTTGACAACCTGTCACGAACCTGTTCCTACATTCCTGTCCCAGTTCCTTACTACCCATTCAGCTGCCTCAAGCAGAAACCTGAAAGTCATCCTGGACTCCTTTCTTCTCCCTCCCATCCAATTAACGAACAAGTCTTGTTGCTTTTGTAACCCCACTATCTCTCCATTTTGCCTCTTCTTTCCAAGCAATTGGCACTGCCTCAGTCAAATCCCGGGCATTCACCTGCTTGCCTGGGAAAGCCCTCCAACTGGTTCACCTGCGTCCAGTCTCATACTCTTCAAACCAATCCTCCAAAAAGACCTCACAAGGATCTTCATGTAACATTATTCCCTTGCTTTAAAAAAAAAAATGACTGGGGATGTAGCTCAGTGTTAGAGTGCCCCTGGGTTCAATCCCCAGTGTCAAAAAAAGGTGGTGGGGGGGGATTTACTATAAGTGGCAAGGCCATCCAAAACCCAGTCTCTGCCTACCTTTCTCTCATTAACCCATGCTGTGACACTACAAGTGCAGAAAAACACTCCAATCATCCTGAGCCTAAGAAGGAATTTTTTGGAAGGGTATTTTGAAAGAATCAGAAAACTAGAGATTGGAGAAATAGGTAGATAGGCAGAAACAAGGGACCTCCACAGATTGCATGTGGACAACAATCTCCGGACACTGTTAATACTACCACCATGTTCTTTCTACACGGCTACTGAGCACCCCTGCAAAGGAACTCTAACCCTCTCTTCATAATTGTATGATCATTCCAGATTCAGTCTCTGGCAATAGAATCCACTGACTCAGCCTTGGTAACTTATGGACCAGAACCCCATTTGACTTTTCACCTTCCACTATTGAGACTAGGAAAGCAGACAGACTCTAGGGTAGCTAGAATAATACATCCCTTCCCCAGTATTTACACCTTTGTATAATACCCTCCCCACTTCAGTGTAGGTGGCATCTGTGATTTGTTTCTAACCAATAAAATACAGCAAAAATGATGCAATATCACTTCTGTAATTATGTTATAACATATAATGCTCTGTGCTGCTAGAAGACTCACTTTCATAATGAACTTGAAGAAGCAAATGTCAGGTTCTGAATTCAGTGTCTATGGAAAGGACCATGTGGCAGAAAACTGGCAACCTGTAAGAGCTGAAGGCAGACTCTTAACAGCAAAACAAAACAAACCCCAAGTGCTCAGTCTTCCAACCACAAGGAAAATAATTCTGCCAACAATAAAACTGAACTTAGAAATAGACCCTTCTCCAGTTGAGTCTCCAGATAAGAATACAACCCAGTGGGCTGGGATTGTGGCTCAGTAATAGAGTGCTTGCCTAGCATGTGTGAGGCACTGTGTTTGATTCTCAGCACTGCATGTAAATAATTGAATAAAATAAAGGTCCAATAACATATAAAAAACTATTAAAAATTGTTTTTAAAAAATACAACCCAACTGATGCTTTGAGGGAAGAGTAGTGAAAACCTGAGACAGCCAACAGCGAAGTCAGACCTGGACCTCTGTCCCCCAGAAACTGTGAGATAAGGTATGTTATTTTGAGTGGCTAAGTTTATGGTAATTAACAAATTTCTATTACATAGTTGTTGAAAATTAACACAAGCCAGGCTTGAGGCCAGAAATTGAGGCCTGCCTGAACAACAAAATGAGATCCAGCTCAAATAACAACAACAACAAAAAAAAATTAATACAAGCCAGATGCTTTCTCAGCCTCCCATCAGCCAGAGATGATCAGGTGACACAATCTTCTCCAAGTCTACTTTTTCTCCCATCTTCCCCAGCTCAATAAAGAATAAGTTGCCAGGCATGGTGGTGCACACCTATAATCCCAGCAGCTCAGGAGGCTAAGGCAGGAGGATCAGGAGTTAAAAGCCAGCCTCAGCAAAAGAAAGGCACTAAGCACTTCAGCAAGACCCTGTCTCTAAATAAAATACAAAATAGGGCTGGAATTGTGGCTCAGTGGTCAAGTGCCCCTGAGTTCAATCTCCAGTACTCCACCCCCACCAAAAAGGGACAAGTCAATTTTTTCAATTGCTGAAGCCAAAATTTCAGAGTGATCCTTGAGTACTCCCTTTCTCACATACTTCACATCCACTCCACTACTAAATTCTATGCAAATTACTAAGATATTATATTAACTGGGAAGGAGACAATGGTGACTAGTACTAAGACAATGATAATTGGGATGAAAGAAAGTAGGTAGATTTTAGAGAGAAATGAAAAGCACTAACAACAGGACCTGTTGATTACTTCTGGGTAGAGAGGGAGAGGGAAATAAAGACTTAAGAATAATTTACAGGGCTGGCTGGGGTTGTAGCTCAGTGGTAGAGCACTTGCCTAGCATGTGTGAGCCCTGGGTTTGATTCTCAGTATCACATATAAATAAAATAAAGGTACATTGACAACTAAAAATTTAAAAAAAAAAGAATATTTTCCAGGGGCTGGAGTTGTGGCTCAGTGGTAGAGCACTTGGCTTACACATGTGAGACACTGGGTTCAATCCTCAGCATCATATAAAAACAATAAGCAAAATAAAGGTATTGTATCCATCCACAACTAAAAAAAATTTTTTTTAAATAATTTCCAAGTTTCAGGCTTTGGGCAATTGATATAGGGAAATGGAAGAGAAAGAAAGTTTGAAAGAGATTATAGTAATTTCATTTTAGATGTATTTGCTTTGAAATGCCAGTGAAATACCCAAGTAAAGATAAGCTATTGATTAAATTGCTTTAATGCTCATAAGTGAGGGCCACATTATTCAGAAGTATACCTAATACAGGCTGTTCCATAACCTCAGAGTATGAATGTGGTTGGTAACTAGATCATCTAAAATGCCATTTCTCATACGTCTAGCTGTTGGCAGGCTACTGGCCATCGAAATGGGAGCAACAAAGCCATATACACCACATCATCCATTAGGCATGCTTGGACTTCTTTATTCAGCAGCTGTAGTGGGTTCCCAAGAACAAAGGGACAGTAACCTCAAAGCACTTGCCAAGTCTCTATTGGTGCCACATTGCCAAAGTAAGTCAGTATGGGAAGTGACTAAAGTTACATGGCAAAGGGGAGTGGATTCAGAGCAGGGAGGAACATGTGACTATCTTTGAATTCTACTTAGGAAAATCAATCTAACTTCCATAGCCTAGTCCAGCTAGAATTAGATTAGCCCATCAACATCATTTCTTTTTAAGACCATTTGTTATGGACTGAATATTTGTGTCATCTCAAAAATGTGTATGTGGGCTGGGGATGTGGCTCAAGCAGTAGCGTGCTCGCCTGGCATGCACAGGGCACAGGGCACGGGGTTCGATCCTCAGCACCACATAAAAATAAAATAAAGATGTTGTGTCCACCGAAAACTAAAAAATAAATATTAAAAAATTCTCTCTCTCTCTCTCTCTCTAAAAAAAAAAAAATGCATATGTTGAAATCTTAACTCCCCGGTGTGACTATATAGATGGTCCCTGAATTATGATGGTTTGACTTATGATTTCCTTATTTTACAATGGCTTGGAAATGATATGAATTCAATAGAATCTGTAGTTTGAATTTTGAATTTTGTCTTTTCCCAGGCTAACAATATATTGTATAATACTCTTTCATGATGCTGGGCAGCGGCACTGAGCTATTGCTCCCAGTCAGTCATGTGATCACAAGGGGAGTTAACTAATACTCTACAGTCAACCTATTGCCAAAGTATTTTTGCTCTAGGTATTCAGTAAATTACATGAGATTTTCAATACTTTATTAGAAAATTGGCTTTATGTTAGATGATTTTAGCCAGGTGTAAGATAAAGTAAGTGTTCTGACCACAATTAAAGATAGACTAAGCCAAGGAATGATGTTCAATAGG